TTGCAGGAACTTCTTTTCTGTATCATAGTATTCCAGACGGGCTGATGAATTGCTGGTCTCCTCGTACAGCACGAAAAACTTTTTCTTCATGGTCTTCAGCTTTTTGAGGTAGCCACTCAGCGCCATGCCGTCATCCGAAATTGATGCCATAATTTCCGATCTTACTTCCTGCAAGGCAACGTGTTTATATATAGTATAAGATTTGGCACATAATTCATTTGGATGGCTTTCACTTTCTTGCAGTACATATGAGCATAATTATAATATATTTATTAAAAAAAAACACATGTATTATGGTTTTTGTAATGTAATCCAGAAACATATACCTATGTTATAGGATTTATAAGTGTTTTGAAACATGAGTTTTGTGCGGAACATTTCCATTTGTAAGCATAAACAGCACACAATATTTCCCATGGCCGGAACAACAAATCGCTTTTCACAGCGCAAACACGCGAAAAGCATTCGCAATGTTGGGTGGCAAAAATCCTTGCCGTCTGTCAACATCGAACATCGGAAATCGCAATCAAAACACGCAATTACGTCGTTTATGTCAATATTCGAGTGCAGCTTACGCGGCGCGACTCATTCGAATTAGGATGTACAAGCGATGGAATTCGGAATGGGAATTGTGAATTCATAATTGGCTCACTGTGCTGGCGCTGTAAAGATTGTTTATTTCGTTTTCAGGTTTCTGCGCATTGCATTAAGATAACCGCAGCTAGATGCTCGTTTTATTATACATATATGTACATACATATGTACATATTGGTACGTGCGCGCGTATGTTTGTACATATTTTGTTTTATAGATGAGCATCATAAATATACATACATATATGTACATATATCTGTGGAATTCTAATACATCTTACATACATATGTATCTGCGAGTTATTTTTCCCCGTAAGCATGTATGTACAAACAACGATACATATGGCACACTCTGGTGGTATCATTTACAAACGCACATGGATATGGGAAATAATACCTCAACGACAATGTGGCTGGGTCATGTGTTACCTAAGGCGTCTAGCTGCCCGTATGCTCAATATGCGCGAAATCAGTGTTTACAAGTTATCCGCGCGATACATTTAAGATTTGTATTATTATTGTTCACCAACGCAATTCTTTATTATCAAACCCACATTTATTCGCGATGACACTTTGCTGTTATCGTTATCGCAGCATAGGAATAACAATACAAAGTTGCCATCCCGATCTCTACACCGGTGAGTGTTGCCATTCCGATTTCCACGCCGGCTTATTCGATACTGAGCGAGTTATCGAATGACCTTTTGATTCGTATAATAGTGGTTTGAAAATAGTATAACAGTTTTTTATTAAATAAACATTTTATTTTTATATTTTAGAAAAAATTACCAATTTTTCTTCACCGAAATTAGAAATTCTCTATTTGCTATATTCTTATATGAACAATGAAATAAAATAAAACTAATAAAAAAGTATAAATTGGTTTTTACACCGAACGTATTTAAATGGACCTCTTTTAATATACGCCCCATTTAATAGATATTAAATTAATACAAAACTGTTAATGTAAGTGATAGCTTCTGAAATCTGGGCAATGAAATGACCAAAGCGGTGTTTTGACGATTTAACTAAAGAAAATGAGCTCAAAAAACAAGGATGAGTAAGAAATTACAAAGTTTTGCATATTGATTTTATTTTTTAATGGTTACTATATTTTTAAATACAATTTGAATATTTTATTTGTTGTAATAATTTAACAATACACGCCGTATTGTTGGTAAGCTTTAGTTTTTTTGTGACTGACTAAGGAGGAAAAAGTCGTTTTCTACCGCGTTCTATTATTTGTGTTGTGTGCTTCGTAGTCCATGACTTCCTCATAGATTAGCTCCTTCCACTGCTCCACGGTGTGTTCTCTCTCATCTACACTATGATCATATGGCTCCGGAGCGGGCTGGAAGAGATGCAATAAGTTAAGGGATTACAAACATGCAGTTCTTCGAAATCCAGTTGATAGTAAAGTCACTTACAGCATCCACTTCCTCAGCATCATACCACACATTTATATATTCATGCTTCAAAGCCTCGTCAACAGATATCCGCTGCTCTGGATCAATGACTAGCATTTTACTAAGAAGATTTCTAGCGTCAGATGCCTTCCTGCGGCTATTCTGATTATTATCACTCGGAAACAAGCCATCGGGGAAAAGTCTATCAAATGAGTATCCAGTATATCTAGGACGATTTTCCACATAGTTTCGGACGGTTGGCTGTAACCGCTGCATAAATGAGGGAGATGGTGTACCTAATTGCTCTGAAATGAGAAAAGCGGACGGTCATAAGGAGAATCAAGCCTAACGTAGGCAACAGCTTACCAATTATTTTATTCCACTGATCTATATGATCCGTTCCAGGAAACAGCACACCACCCCTTATCATTTCGCCCATGATGCACCCAACGGACCATATGTCCACGTTCTCTGTGTATCCCATTCCCAAAATGACCTCTGGAGCCCTGTAGTATCGGGTGACCACATAGGGAGTCATCATGAAGGTAGTTCCTGCAGTACGTGCCAGACCGAAGTCTAAAATTTTTAGAGTGCAGTCTGCCTTTACGACTATATTGGATGGCTTTAAGTCCTGCAAACAATTTATTGTTTAATTTTCGTATTCGTTTGATGATATGTGCATACTGTACTCTGTGAATAATTCCTGCTGAGTGTAAATGTTTTATTCCGCACAACATTTGGTAAAGCAAATAAGACATTCTGTCGTGATCCAAGTCCATTTGGATGACCTGGCAGAGATTAGCATCCATCAGCTCCATGACAAGGTAGACATCCTGAAACTCCTCCAGGTTCCTTTGAGGCGTAAAAGCATTAAGTAAGCCAATTATCTATGGATTAAATTCTTTTTTTTAATAACAATTTGCAGTTATAGGGCCGAGTTTTTTTACGTTTTTATGGTTAACAAGCTTCATTAGCTTGAATTCCCTATATGCTCTCTTGGCATGGGTTACATTTTGGAATGGTCGAGATAGTTTCTTAATCGCCACATTTTGCTGGGTAATAGTATCGTAAGCGGCGCTGTAATGCATTTAAAATGAAACAAATTAGTAATTTTATATATTTCTTCTCACCTTACCGAATCCTACAAATAAAGTATAACGGAGCGTTACAAAAATTACTCTCCCAATAAATTATAATTCTTTTTTAACTGTCGCAAAGGAAATATAAGTTAAGATCCTATCTATATAAATATCTGCATTGTTTTTGACTAAACGAAAGATATTATATAATATAATACACAATATAATATTTTGTATTACTTATGAAAAGGGGTGGTTAACATGTAACAAAATATTGAGAAGCACTTACCATACTATTCCTTGGGCACCAGATCCTATAGGCCGTAGGTTAATGTACCGACTGTGGATGGTGAAGTTGGTGTCTCCCACCTCGACGGTGTAGTGTTGGTGCTGAGCTGTCGTCATTTTTCACTGATTTTATTTATTACTAGTTCAGAGCAAGGAGCATATCGGCCTTTGGATGTGGGTAAATAAGATAAATCAATACGAGCACTCGGTTTCAGTAGGATTATTAGTACGATTTTATATAAGGAGCACAGACCCCCGTCTGTATGGCTCCATTTCCAAATGGGTGGAGGCAGTTTTCAGAAAACTTCGTCTGCGACTGAGATTAGGGGGTAGGAAAACATGAACTTTGCTGGCCTTATTTCGGCAGAATGTTAGGGCCATTAAGTGGGCTTGTTGTCGCGAGGGCTGAAATCTACTGGATAGTGTGTGGCGACTTTGTTGCCAAACCACGAGCAAAAATATCGAGTTCCTTAAAACAGATACAATTGCATAACGCAGTAACTTATTTGAGCCGCCTTCGAATGGGGAACCCCTCTATTTGTAAGCATTCAAATGTTTGCCGGACAACACGAATATGGTTGGAAAAACTCCCATCAGATATGTTCAACTGTTTCGTTCTTCAGCAAAGTGTTTAACGGCACGCACAGAATAAAACCGATTTAAAATCGATATGTCGGCTTAAATATACAAGTACGGAATGTTGGACCACAGCGATGTACATAAGTTTATATGTATGCATGCCGTTGCCTGTGTAAATATGTACATACACACGATTTGTATACTGGTGAAAACTGTAAACTTCTACTGGTATACATATGTAAGATGTAAGCGACATACAAACATATGCACATACATACATTCACACAAATGTGGGTCGATAATTTAGTAACTTTTCAAACTATCTCTCAGATAGAAGATATTCCTCTTTTTCATACATCGAAAATGCGTTCGTTTGTGTTGCAGATAATAAAGCGGTGTTCGCTTCGGGTAGTGTCGATATGTAAACGTTAGACATTTGCGCATACATAGGTACATACACAGTAGTAGTTGACATTTTATGTTAAATATCAATAATTTTTTCATAACCGGCACAACTGTAATTGGTTTCAATCGATTATGACACGTTTGGCAGAATTGTTTTGGGGAATTCGCTATTTGATGTGAATGGAACGTAATAGAATATTTATTTACCATTTAACGCAGAAGTACAAATTTTCTTGTGAAAATATAAAATCGATTTTTTTCTATTTTATTCTACACACTGGGCACTCAAAGTGGCGAGCATTTTAAGCTATGTTAATTTATTGAAATTTAAGAACCAACTATCTGCGGCACTTTCGCATGAGAATAATTGTACATGGATACAATACAATATACGAAAATCTATTGGAATATTCGATCACAACAAAGTTATTTAAATCGGTGTGACCAGATTGCAGTAGGACCAAAACCACAAACGACTAAAGTCAGCCACTCGACTATTTATTAAAATCGGGCTAAACTAGCGTTTTAAAACCTTTAAAGAGTTTACTGCTTATAAAAAAACATATACCCCTGCATATAGTTAAATACAGATACTAAACGCAGTAGGTGCTCTGTTCCATTTCATCGTTTCAATCATTGTGACTCCTTCGCTCGATTTATCGAGTATGCATCAAATGACGAATGAGAAATGCTGTCATCACTAACAATAAATAAAAACAAAAGAATTGAAATATACAGCGATATGAAGACGGTTGGTTTTTAGGTGGTGATGATTCATATAAGCTAATAAGTAATAGTTTTACTTTTCTTGTTGCAGTCATCACCAGCACTTAAATACCTCTTGGAGAAGGATGTGCAGGTGTCGAAGCATTTCGTTGTAGCCGTCTCCAATCTGAAATTCTTCAAATCTCTGCGGATCCACAGTAGGTTTCTGGAAATATCATGCGATGGAATAGCCTGGTTCGCCTCTTGGATTGCGTTCATCTGGTTGCTCAGTTCGAAGAGCTTGTATCAAATGCAAGTCAATATGCTCTTCGGCTTGATACTCGATGTGGTTGTTGTGGCTGTGCTGAAGGCGCTCGTTCGTCGAAGAAGACCGGTGGCCAGCAGGGATATGCTGACTATTGGACCCGATAAGTTTAGCTTTCCTTCGGGCCACGCCTCCCGGGCGTTCTTCGTGCTCCTGTTCTTCGCCAAGCTGTACCCGCTCCACATAGTTTTCCTGCTACCGGTCACAGCCTGGGCTGTTAGCGTGGCCATCTCACGGCTCATCCTTCAGCGTCATTATGTTTTGGATATATGCGCTGGAGCAGTCATCGGCGTATTGGAGGCATTAGTCATAGGGCTTCTGTGGGTCAGCGAGGAAACTGCATTTAGCATTGTGGGCTTTGTTACCGAGGAAACTGTGGACAGTATGGAGTAACGCCAAGTTACGATTGGAACACCGAAAGCAATAGATAATCCCTAGATCATTATAAATGCTTTAACCAAATACATTGTTAATGCTAAAGAACTTCGACTAGTTTTCCTCTCTGAAAATTGTACTTCAAATGGCACTGAAGTCATCGTACCATAATCTTTAAATAAAATTAAATAATAATTTTATTTTAATCTAATACTTACTCGCATTTTATTGTCATTCAGATTACTATTTCTAAAAAATTATATTGTAAAAGAAATTTTTTCTTAATATTAGCACTCCTAAATATATCGATTCATCGATAAGGAGTCAACAACCCCAACGACTTCGTCGGGGGATGAAATGTTGTATGCCATATAAAGTTTTCGCGAAAGGATAAATACAAAAATATTTTCGGATTCGTTGGCATGTCAATTGAACTATTGAAATAACGAAAGGCTTCATATTGTTAGTTACGTTAAGCAATATGAACAAATATTCTGCATTTATCGTGTGCTTTTCGGTCCTACTTTTATTTACAAGAAAAGATGTGGGGAGCCATAATGTGGACTCCGGAATATATGGGTAGGTATTTCTACCCAATAGCGAAAGTTTCAATAAAAACAGAGGCATTATACACTTCAAATGTGGAGCTAAAAATGTTTAATGCATTTCAAAATGTCCAAACATTGTGTATACCCGAATAAAGAAATCGTTAGACGCCATTAGTTCGTTAAAATTTAATTCAAAATGTAATATTTGCGTGTAGTTTCCAGCAATCATCAGGTATCTGCCACATTTACAATGGCACTATCTGTCGGGATGTCTTGAGCAATGCCCATGTTTTCGTATCCCCCAATCTCACCATGCACGACTTGGAGGAGCGTTTGAAGGCAGCATATGGGGTAATCAAGGAGTCCAAGTGAGTATAATAGTAATTCAACATTTCATAGCTAATTCTAAGTGCATATTTTTAGGGATATGAATGCAAATTGCCGCATGTACGCTTTGCCCAGCTTGTGTTTCAGTTCAATGCCAGTTTGCAGGACTCCAGAGCGCACGAACCTATTGTACTTTGCCAACGTGGCCACGAACGCAAAACAGCTGAAGAGCGTCAACATTCGCCGGAAGCGAACCAAGTCAAAGGACATTAAAAACATAAACATTTTTAAGAAGAAATCCACCATCTACGAAGATGTGTTCAGCACAGATATATCGAGTAAATACCCACCAACCAGGGAGTCTGAGAACCTAAAACGCATTTGCCGCGAGGAATGCGAACTGCTGGAGAACGAGCTGTGCCAGAAGGAGTATGCCATCGCCAAACGGCATCCGGTCATCGGGATGGTGGGAGTGGAGGATTGCCAGAAGCTGCCACAGCACAAGGACTGCCTGTCTTTGGGCATTACCATCGAGGTGGATAAGACGGAGAACTGTTACTGGGAGGACGGGTCGACCTACAGAGGAGTTGCGAACGTCTCCGCATCCGGAAAGCCATGCTTAAGATGGTCTTGGCTGATGAAGGAAATCTCTGATTTTCCTGAACTCATCGGTCAGAACTACTGCAGGTAATTATTTCATTTTGTAATGTACGCAAAATATTTGATCATTTTGTAACCTTTGTAGAAATCCTGGAAGCGTTGAAAATAGTCCTTGGTGTTTCGTGGACTCCTCGCGTGAACGCATAATCGAACTTTGTGATATTCCAAAATGCGCGGATAAAATATGGATTGCCATTGTTGGAACGACTGCAGCTATCATTTTAATATTTATAATTATATTTGCCATAATACTTTTCAAAAGAAGAACAATCATGCACTATGGAATGAGAAATATTCATAATGTAAGTTAACATAGCAAAGTATAAAACAAACTATTACCATTTTCCTTTCAGATCAACACACCCAGCGCCGATAAAAATATTTACGGAAATTCGCAGCTCAATAATGTTCAAGATGCTGGTAGGGGAAACTTGGGAAATCTAACAGATCACATTGCTCTGAACTCCAAGCTCATCGAGAGGAATACTCTACTGAGGATAAACCACTTTACTCTGCAGGATGTCGAATTTTTGGAAGAGCTGGGCGAAGGAGCATTTGGTTTGTAATTTTGATAATCTGGGGACATACTTCTATATGCAATCGTTATAGGGAAAGTTTACAAGGGACAGCTCTCGCAGCCCAATAAGACCACCATAACAGTGGCCATTAAGGCGTTGAAGGAAAACGCCTCAGTGAAAACGCAGCAGGACTTTAAGCGCGAAATCGAACTAATCTCAGATCTGAAGCATCAAAATATAGTGTGCATATTGGGTGTAGTGCTGAACAAAGAGCCCTATTGCATGCTGTTCGAGTACATGGCCAATGGCGACTTGCACGAATTCTTGATCTCAAACTCACCCACCGAAGGCAAGTCCCTATCGCAGCTGGAATTCCTGCAAATAGCTCTTCAAATCAGCGAGGGAATGCAGTATCTGTCGGCCCATCATTACGTTCACCGCGACTTGGCAGCTCGCAATTGTCTGGTCAACGAGGGTTTGGTTGTGAAAATATCCGATTTTGGACTATCCAGAGACATTTACAGCTCAGATTACTATAGGTAAGACGTCGGATATATCAAGCTTGCAGTTAGAAACAGCAACAATAAGTGTAATGGTTTTCATTGCAGGGTTCAGTCAAAGTCGCTTTTGCCCGTAAGGTGGATGCCCTCGGAATCGATATTGTACGGAAAGTTTACCACAGAGAGCGATGTCTGGTCCTTTGGCGTCGTTCTTTGGGAAATATACAGCTATGGAATGCAGGCAAGTCCCTCAAACTTGATATAAACTGGCAATATCTGACGCTATGTTCCCATTAGCCATACTACGGTTTTAGCAATCAGGAAGTAATCAATCTCATCCGTTCACGGCAACTGCTTTCCGCTCCGGAAAACTGTCCCACTGCTGTCTACTCCCTTATGATCGAGTGCTGGCATGAGCAGTCAGTAAAACGTCCAACATTCACAGATATCTCGAACCGTCTTAAAACTTGGCACGAGGGCCACTTTAAGGCTAGTAATCCAGAAATATAAACGTAGGATTTTACACATATGTATTTTCAACGAATGGACTGTAAAATAAGTAGGTTTAAGAATTTAATAAAATGAAAGATATCAAAAACCTCAAGAGTGTTGGGATGTTTAGGAAGAACCGATTGATTTTCGTTTATATTATTTTTTTTTTTGTAACTTTATTAAGTGAGATTTGTTCGTAATAACCATATGGTATTTAAATGTTTTTGTGCCAATCAGACAATTCTATTATCCTGTAGCAATGCCCAGGGCAACGCCACCGAAAAATGAAGCCAAAAATATGTGGAGATCGTTGACTTTTGGACCCTCCTCATCGCCAATCAGTTTGGTGTACCATTTCGCCACTTTCTTGCTGTTTCGGGTTAAGAGGCTTTCCGCCCTGTCTAATTGATTGTCCACATATCGTTCGGTCTGCAAATAAGAGTCAGCATATATATTAGGTAAATCTAAATGTGTCGTCTCAATTTTACCTTATCCTTCCAATTTTTTTCACGACCCAGCGAAGCTTCCACTTTATCGGCAAGTTTATCCACGCTCTTATCCAACTTACTCCAATTTATTTTTATAAGCCCTTCTTGGTGCGCGATTTCAAGCAAGATTATGCTGCCGCCCACGGCAAAGGCAGCAAATTTGCCTATCTTCATTGTCGTATATCCTGTGACCCTGAAAAATATTTATATTATTGGTGATAAGAACAAATTACCCAGACGCCAGCTAATTTGAATAGCTTCTATTGATTTATTAATTCAGCAACTTATCATTTGGTGCATAAAATATACAACTCCATAGCCGAATTATCTATTTTATCCTTATCTGATTAATGACTCATTTCCCTAGGATCTTCTTTCACTTAAGTTCTTTCCTTTTTTAGGAAGGTCCTTTATGTATTCCTCCAACAAAAACAATCTTTCATACATGTATATACATAGGTAAATATTTGCAATACATGTAGCAGCAAAGCATTCAATTTATTATTTTAAACCAAATCTCTACTGACTTATATACTAGTTATAAAATAAAGTATGCAAACAATTAAAACTTCAGACATCAGAAATTCGGCTTTCCTAAAATTTAACTTAATGTGTTGCAATGATATAACCACATACCATCCCGATGAGACGCCAATTAGCATCTGCGAATATGCTGAACGCTGGCCAATATCGCTAAAAACTTTCTTTAAAAATTCCGAATAATTAGTCATTTTTAAAATTAGATGTCGACGTTAAGATGCGAAATTCTGACGGTCTAGTTTACGTCAATTTAACACAATAGTATATGCCTGTCAAGATAGCGCCAATTTTGTCATCTCTTTTGGGGTGTGTTTACTGGAATTTGGAATCGGAACAACATATGTTATAGGGATTATAAGAAAAAGGGTAAGCAAAATACTTGGTGGCGATTAGTGGAAAAAGTAGTCAGTTATTAAATTTTTAATAGCATCTCTTAGTACACCAATAAGGAGCGAAATTAGAAACAATTTTAATAATTTAGCAGGTCAGAGTGACCGTGTTCTTGGTCAGCTGATTTTGTTCACAAGCAAAGCAGATTTCAGAATTTCAGCATTGTTAACAATGCAGCTAAAGATTATTTAGACTTAGACTATTATTAAAAGACATTTTAAGAAATGTATTTTTAATCTTACCCTTGCGACCGCTTAATATTTTGGACAACTTTATCGATTGGCAAATTTTAAGATCTTTTTAATAACTGCCTAGTTTTTACCTCTTAGTAAAAAACTAATCAATTTTTTTATCCACTTTTAGATTTGAAACCTTCAAAATTTTCTTGAACCTTACCACCTTAATTATCAATTTCAGACAAAAACCCAAAGTTCGAATGAAATCTACAATACAAAATGTACATGAGTTTATTTAAAATAATTGTTAAAACTACTTAAATAAATATCATACAGTATATTTACAAATTCGAATAGATTAGCCAATTACTTAGCAATTTTAATTACTTTGCTAAATCACCAAGAATTATAAGTCCGTAATAAGCATTGATTACAGGTATGTTGATTCACCTGAAATAAAAGAATAAAA